AGGAGTGAACAAGTGTACTATGGTGGAAAGGGAAGCTAGTTCTTTAATGTAGAGTTGTAGGTTAAAGAGGTAACAGTTACTCTCAGCATAAGGTTGGTACACCCTAGTTTTGAAACTACATATAGTTTCAGTCTTTCTAGTTCACGGATGATATCAGCAATTTGGGAGGGATTGCTGAGGAGAGAATAAATAGTGGTTAAAAGTGAAAAGGGAGGATTGATTAGAAGGATTTTGGGTAAGCTGGCTCAGAATAAGGTATTTCTGAATCACGCATCTTAATGGTATCTAGAGGTCCAGACAATGAGTTGTGATGAGATAAGTTTCCAAATAGGAGAGGATAGCAATTTTAAGGAGAGGGGGATTATTAAGTATGATTTTGGTGTATAAGAATTAAAATTAACTAGGAACATATTGCTGGATATCAGGTAAAAAGTCTTAAAAATCAGGCCAGTTGGATTTGCAAGGGCAAAGTTATTTCAGCTTGGCCCAGATAGAATATTCAAAAACACTTTGTGGAGAACCGTAGTCTACGTGAATGGGAGGGGACTAGACGACCATAGGTCTTTTCAGTCCTTAAATTAATTTTTAAAATTGTTTAAGGATGAATATAAAACATTAGAGTCAGAGGATTGCAAAACACCCTACACCGACAGGTAAGAAGAGAAAGAAACTATGCACTTATGAATTTCCAGTGGATAGTTTGCTAATAAAATGACATAACAAATGTTTAATGCTGGAACATTTCTGCCCTACCTGCACATGACTATTTAGTTTTTTTCTGGTGTTCCATACATTTTGGATGTCAGTGTTATTATGTTTTAAGTTATTTCCTGAGAGCATTCAAATGTCAACATCTAAACTCCAACAGAGACTTTAAAATTGCTTGGTAAGAATAAGCTCATGTTCTCATGAAATGAGCTATTTATACAAGGAAAAGAGGAGACCCATTCCTTCAAGTCATAAGCTGAATCTTGCAAACACAACTTCTGCCCAAGGCTTTATTCTGTCCTTAGAATACATGAGCTCAATGCAAAGACCAATACATCAGCTGTCCCATGTTCTAGTACTCAAACAGTGAAACGTGTAATATTGATACACAGATTCAAGCGAATTATCATCAAACCAACAGAGGAAGCTGGATGTACAGACAAATTGCTCTATATCAAAAATAAACTCCCCACATACTATTTTTCACTGCAATCACATTGAAAACTGCCTGTGCATAGTAATGAAATGGCCTCTCAAATCCCTCTCTCCCCCATGCCTATACAGAAGAACACACCACAGCTAGTGTAAAGCGTAAATAGTGTTTATATTTCTTTGTTTTGCAATGACAATAAAACCAACTCATCATCTTAGCTTTAGGTTACCTTTTTCTCTTATTGATCATGTTTGCTTCAGGCTCTTATTTACAATGAAGTCAGATATAACAAAAATCCAATGAAGCAATGTGACAGTCTCAATGGTATTACTCTTTTGCATTGTGTACATTCCCCTCCAGTGGAAGTGGGCATGAAACAGAATCTGTTTCTGTCCTGATTTTCTCCAAATTGTAGTAGTGGTGGTGGGGAGGCTTGGTGAGACTAGAGGACAGTATTCAGACTCTCTGGTCTTGTTTGGGCCCGTTATAGAGAATAGACTATGCCATACAATTCAGATTTGGAGCTAGTTCTGGATCCAAACTTCCACAAAGACCAGGTACTTTGAACCTGATAAAGTTAATCTAAGATTTTCTAAGTTCTCACTGGAAAGTGATGGGAATATGCAAACACATCTAGGGAGCTTTGAAAATCTTAGCCTACAGTTTTGGAAATAACTTTATTATAAATGTTGCTTTTTATGCGATGACTTCAAAGTACTTTACAACCACTGATCATAGGCTGGGAAATGGCCATGGGTAAGCTACTTAACCAATAGCCCTTGGAGAAATTGTTGCCTAGACACATATCTGAGTCAAACTCTTCCTATGTGATTACTTGATTGCTACAATTACTGTTCTGAACTGGATAAGCAAGTGAGTGAGGCTCCATCTGTTACCTTCTCACTGGCTCTGGGGAAAAATCAAGCAGCTATTACTCTGGCTTACCCCCCAGCACAGAGCCCAAGGTCCAAGCAGCACTTGTGAGATAATTTTTTCCACTCTCTTATGCTCCAGTGCAGGCACACAATCTAACCCACTAGTCACAGGCCCTCTGAAAGCTGATATGTATTCATACCACAACTGTGATATCCAGTATTCACCTATTTACAGAGATCCTGACAGGGAGCTGAAACCACACTGCACAATTAAGAAGATCAAACAGCATGAATACGGTAATAAACAGGGAATCCATGGAAGCAAATAGCATAGATACAAACCCATGGGTGATGAAAAGTATTTTCCCAAACTACTTGGTGGATTATAACATATATATTCAGAGAAAATCAGATTGCTTTGAAACGTAGTCACTAGACAATAAATAAAAGGTGACATTCCTTGTAAATATAATTTATAAATGAAGAGGGTGACTAAATCTAGTGGAATGTCCCAAGTACAGTGGCATAGAGAACATTGTTTAGAAAATAATAAATGTTATGAATGTTAATATGTCTTCTACTGGGATTGTGCATCCTGGTGCTATCATCATAAACAACGACCATGTGCCAAATTGACTACGTTTTATCACTGATATCAGCGGCAGCAGAATCACTCCCAAACTAACAGGACATTTTTCTTTGGGCAATCACTATTGCTTTGTTTTCCATAGCATTCATATTTCCTGAAGGGTTTTAATATCACAATCAAAACCACCTGTCCCAAATACACAGCACATCAATACCACATCATCTCTTTCAAATCACAAATTCACAGGTACTAATTCTCCTGGAATGCAAAAAGATAAAATACTTTCTCTGATAAACTACAATTAATTGCCAGTACAATTGTTTAATCAATTTTTAATAATGAAAATAAAGCCTCTTGAATGAAGCAATCAAATTTGTCTTTCCCTTTTAAAATTATAATCACTTCAAAAATTGAGAACTTGGCTATTTAAATTATTGCCTGGGAAGGAAAAACTTGCAACAATGAATGCATCTAAATCACCCACTCTAGTGTTTTCAGAAGTGTTGATATTGTATTATACTATTTTGTATCACCTCTGCCAGGAGAAGAGAAAGAATCCTAGAATGAAAATCTAAAATGGGATATGTATACCCATTATCTTTTTGTAAAAGCTCTTTTATCCAGGAGACATCAACAAGCATTTGGCTGTTGTCAATGGATCTTGAACCTGATTGATTATATTCATTGTACATGTATGTGGATGGGGATTTAACTTTTGTTTATCAAGCTGGAAAAAGGTAGGACAGATGGGTGAATTCTCACTTCAGACTGGAAGTAAATCCTAGTGTTTTTCAGAGCTCAACATGGATTTGATCAACTTCTCCCTCTTGCCTTCCCCTAAACTCATATTTTGTTGATTTCTATTTTCTTCTTGTACTTCAGAGACTAAAAATGAATCTGACAAAATCACACAGAAAAGTTGCTCTCACAATATTCCTTTTCCAAGAATAAGTAGGTTGTACCTGAAATCTTATTAAATGCATTGTCTAGCACAGCAGATCTCAACCTGTGGCATGGGTCCCTAAAGTGGGTTGCCACCCCATTTTAATGGAGACACTGGGGCTGATCTAGGCTTGCTGAGGCACAGGGACAAAGCCTGAGTCCCACCACTAGAGTTACCAGTTTTGATTTTATCAATCCTGGAGATATCACGTGACAATCTTGAATTAAAGATTAGTTTAAATGGCCTGGAGTCTCCAGGAAAATCCTGGAGAGTTGACAAACTTCCCACTGCCCAGGGGGCAAAGCAGAAGCCTGAGGGCTTCAGCTTTGGGTGACAGGGCTAAGGTTATAGCCCCCCAGCTGGATCTGGAAGTCTTGGACTTTGGCCACCCTTGCCAGTTTGGGCTTAGTTGAACTAAGCCTTCACCCCTCCCCCCCCCCCATCTTGGAGTCATGTAGTAATTTCTGTTGTCAAAAGGAGGTTATGTTGCAGTGAAGTTTGAGAACTCCTGATCAAGCAAAATTTACAGACAGTTTTGCAGAATCAAAAGGTTATAACCATTTGGGAAAGTTACAATTGATCATTAGGAACTTGGGTGCTTACATGAATGGAATCACCAAACCTTTGGAGGCTTTCAACAGTTGTCAAACTGATAAACTAATTCTTTGGATTTTGGCTGAGTTTGGTGATTTATTGGTAGATTAATTCTCTTAGCCTCTGCTCATTAGTCATGTGCCCCAGCCCCCTAATCATTTTCATTGTCCTCTGTTGGACTTTCTCTAATTTGTCCACATCCTTTCTATAGTGAGGGCCCAAAATTGGATTCAGTACTCCAGATGTGGCCTCACCAGTGCCAAGAAGAGGGGAATGCACATCTAAATGCACATGTCTCCAAACTAAACCTAGTTGGCTTTCTTTGAATTGATTGCTTGAATTTTGTCTGCTTCTGTAGTCCTTCAGGCTGGTTACACCCTCTTACCCAAACAATGCCTAGCCAAGTCCTTGCCCACATATCCCTGTGAGGGTTTGGATGTGCATTTCTTTGGCTGAACTCATAAGTATGTGTTTTTGGTGCTACTTCTATATTGTCCAGTCACTTCTTTATATTATCCTGAATGAAAGGTCCTGGTTACACCTTATCCATAACAACAAGGTTTGATTTAACCCACAACAGTATTTCGTTTTCTATCTACATATGTATCTCATCACTATGGTTTCAGTGCTTCTGTTCCACCAACTGTCTCTGCATCTTTTCTATTAATTCCCATGAGGTTCCATATTTAGACAATTCAGACTCAAAACAATTTTCCATTTTAAAGTAAAACTGTTTGGGGATTTTTTGATGTTATTTTTAACATTAGAACATTCATAAAGCATAGTTTTAAGTCCAAACCTCTGGGAATGGAATGACACTGATTAACATTAGCTGTCACTTACACAAGTAGAACTAACCTGTATGTTCTCCATGTGTCTGTGTGTGTGATGAAATTCTGGTAACATGGCAGGATCTTACCATGTGTGATAGTTATTTTTTGCAAGATCAATCTCTCTTTCTCTAGGCTTCGACCACCTGAGTCTGCAACACAAAATAGCACACTTCAGCTGTTCATTGTCAGAGCTGTTGTGTCTGATTCATTTATTATGAACTATGATTCTAAATATAAAAATGAGACATACAAATAGTTCCTAAAGTAAGGTGCTCTTTAGTCGATGAATCTTTTTCCTATTTGACCTGGTGAGTCACTTAAAATGACAGATTCTGATTTCACTTCACATGTGTATAACTAGACTAATTTCCATTGTGTCAATTGAGTTCTTCAGTGTCTCATCTGTGTAACTGACAGGTAGAACGATCCATCTCCTTTTTTAAATTCCCCACTCCCTCCAGTAATATTACACCAGCCTCTTTTGTATAGGGCTGATCAGAAAACAATTCCATTCTGGAATTAAATAACCCTGAGGTTTTGGGAAGAAAAACTCACTGTTATGTGAAACAAAACTGATTTTTTGGGAAAAAAAAAACAAAGAAAAATTCTAAAAAGCAGATCCGGACAAGAATGTCAAATTTCCTAGGTGGTTTAGCCCACTCTCTCAAGATGGAGAGTATTAAGTTCAAATCCCTACACTGAATCAGACTAATCTGGAATGGGCCTGTCTGTCTTTCATCAGAAATTCCATCCTGGGCCTTCCCGACAGTTTAGTCAAAAGTGATACGTGTCCATGAAAGTTTTGATTTCCATAAACTGGTATTTTCAGAACAGAAAGAGCTAAAGAGCTTTGTTTCTATGTCTCTTCTCACTGGTGGTACAAATATCTTCCCATTTGTAACAGTCTATCAATGCAGTATTTCTCAATCTTTTTTTATTAAGTACCCCTTTACAAAAATTGTAAGTACCCCCTTTTTCAAAAAAAAATTTGTAAGTACCCTCAGTACCTACAGTTTTCAGATGCAGAATTTTTTTTCTACTATTGCAACATATTTGTTTAAACAACTTATTTGTAACCAGGCTGGTGGATTAAATTTTTAGGTATAAAAAGTACAAAAATAATAAAGTGCTGTAAAACTTAAAACAAAAATTCAGTTTTCTTCCAATTTCAATTGTGTTGACGCACCCCCCCCCCCCCCCCATCCCACACTTCTTTCAAATACTTCTAAGGGTACTAGTACCACTGGTTGAGAAACACTGTACTAATGTATTGAAAAACAACCTTTTCTCTTGAATTCTTCTTTCTCTGGATTTTCTCTATTGACTGAATGCTGTCATTTATTTATCGAACAACTGTCTTTTACTTGCATTTGTTTTTCCAATTTATACCAAATTGTCCATTCTCTTGTATTATTTAAGTCTATGAAAGCATTTTGGGGACACAGATTGCAATAATGGTACTATACATCCGTATTACTTTGTATTTCAATGCTTACTATAGACTTGCAAGAGATATTTTTAAAGAGAGGACTGCTGGATGACAATCCAAAAATTGAGAGTGCTTGCAAAATACTTGTACATAAGAATGAATGTATTGGACTCCTGAAAATGAAATTATGGCATTAGATTAATTAAAAGTGGATCCTAGATTGATGTATGTATGTCAGCCCTAATATGCAAGAACTTGAGAGAGGCATGTGTGCTAAAGTGGCACAAAACCATGTGTGAAACCACCAGATCCTAAGTCACTTGTAAACTTGAGGGTTGCTCTAAATCAGGGGATCTCAAACTCAGTTTACCTTAGACGTGTGTGTGTGTGTGTCTCTCTCTCTCTCTCCTGGCTCACATGCTCACCCTCCCAACATACCCTCTGGCCTCACCTGCTGCCCCCAGATTGGGGAAGTGCTAAAGGCACAGATATCCCCCTGGCAGGGAGTTTGAGATCCCTTCTCTAAGTTATGTCAACAAGGAGCTGTCATGATAATCAGTAATTGCTTGAAGACATGGAAACTCAGTCATAATTTTTTTTTTGGCTGCAGCCCCTATACTGACAGGAACAAGAAGCTGGTGGATGGCCACATTTGGCAGTTTTAGGGTTGCTGCTGAAGCAAAGCCAAACAGCCAGAAAACAGCTGATGATTAGTGTTAATTATATGATAGTTAAAACCATAGTTACATTTCCACTATTGTCCAACTTCACTCACTGGATGTGTGCAGTATATCACAGATGTCCCTGAAAATACGCTAGACATACTGTATATTAAAGTTCATGAATAGAGAAAAATGAATATAAGGACAGATCATCCACTATGATATACAGTAACAATTATGGGAGTCTTCCATGGTTGCCAATATGCTGTCTATCTGGGACTTGATAGAAAAAGCAGAGAAAGAATTTAGGGTCTAATGCTGCCAACCACTTCAGCGAAGAAAGCTCAGTTAGTATTTCTCTCTAGAAGTGCATTCTGAGTAGACCTCATTTCCATTAGTAGGGAACAGTACAGTAGTACACATTCACAACAGCCTGTACATTTCAAAATGGGCAAATTAATTCCCATAATTGTTAATCATATATATCACTATCCTATTTAGGAAAAAGTTTCCTTGCATTCTAAATTTCAAAACAAAAACAATAGACAAGATCATCAGCTGTGTAAAACATTTTCACTATATTGAAATCAATGGAGTGAAACTAGTTTGCACCAGTTGAGAATCTGTCTTAATGTTCTATTCTCGCTATTTGTTTCTTGAAACAATTCTTGGAAAAGTTGGACTACATTGTGAACTTCTCCAGTTTTTCCTATGTCTGTTGAGGAATTGGCAGTTTGATGTGTTAGTTTATGGTGGAATCAAATATTTATTCAGAAATGTATGAATCATTACATATTATAGCACTCTTGGAGCAGATGCCTCGAAAAGCTTAATTAAATAAAAGAGCTTGCAATTAAAAGGCATATCCAAATGAATAAACCCTAAGGGTTGATTTAAAAATCACTCAGGAGAGTCACGACAATAAACTTGCAATGAGAAGGGAATGTCATAGGTAGGTCATAAGAATAGATGTATCCTGCATAATTGGAAGTCCAAATATTACAATAGTAATTATGAATAATACATCGTATTTTATAGCATCTTTCATCCAAACACCCTTTATATGCTTTCTCTGGATAGGTAAAAGTCATTTTAACATTTTTGAAATGTAGAATATACCATGTTGTTAATTTGTCAATCAATTCCAGTTTAGTTATGTTTCCATAAAAAATAAGTTTACACTAGAAAATGTAAAACTACATATTTTTGGGGAAAAAAAAACCTTCAAAAATTGTCTCTGCTAAGAAGTGAAGACAAACAACCAAATCTCACAAAGTGGGCATTTTACCCAAGTACGATTATCCAGGTCTATTCTTACGCCATTTTTAGGAAAATATTACATGCAGGCTTATGTGAATAGAATGCTTCAAATTAACACTCCTACACGGTAAAAGTAAAAGCCCCCCAAAACAAAAGTTAATAATGGAAATAGAGTGTGACCTTCTCTCTATAGAAGCTTTTGTAGCTACCACCATCTGTAACATGGGGATTTGTCAAATTCTAATACTGTACTTAAGGGGGAAAGTATTTGGGTGCCCATCAGGAATGTATGAACCAGTTGAAATAAAGTAGGCAGCCCTCCTTTACTCTTCCTCCTTTCATCAAAGTTTAATTCCCTTTTGTGAGATTCATAATAATCTGTTAATTTGGCTCTCTTCTCTCACTGTAATTACATTTCCTCTTTCCAACAGGACACAGAGCAAAAGGAACAAAGAGTCGCATAAAGAGCTGTTTATGTAATTTCTCTATCTTGACCACTGGAAGAAGAGAGAAATCTTAAACTAGCCTATTCTCCTCAGGTTCCCAGTCTATTTTCACAGAAACAAGAGGACATAAGATGCTTCCACACTTATGATTGGTCCCTCCCAAAAAATCAGGAGCATTGGCACACTTTTTCTATCACTGAAAGTGCAAAGCAGCAGAAGTTTGAGTGCTGTGGGAATGATCAGAATATGATCACCTTGGCAATATTTTGTGGCTCTGGCACAGGTGGTGGCATGTCGATGTGATAATTTTGCTGCTGCTGAGATTTCAGAGAGAGTGTGCTGATGAGGAAGCAAAGCAGATCTTTGTAACTGCTTGGTGAGATGGATACAGTCGGTGTCAATTTAAAAATTAAATTTATTTTTATGATCCTTTGCTCTAGTTTTATGTTACCATAAATACTGGCTGTGCTCTGGGTGACATTTATGACTCCTTAGAGGTCTTCCAGTATCAGAGAAGGCTTTTGTTTCCTGAATAGCAGTGGCACATGCTATATGTCAATCTTCAGGGTTGCTTTACAGTTATTTTGAGACCAATGTGGTTTTTTGGTGAGATTATTGAGAGGCATGCAAAAAAATAGGTTTATTGGGAAGGTAAGAGTGATTGGCTATGTGGATATAGAGCCATTGCTATCCAATACAACATTTAAACCAACAATCAGTAGGCAGTGAGTAATTAATCTGTTGCAGTGCAGAGCTGTTTAGAGCCTATGGGTCCTACTACTGAAATTCACATATGTGCAGAAGGCCAGGACTAACTTTATGTAAGGAGCTAATCATTTCATGTGTGTGAATTTTATACTTACTGTAATTACCCATAACCAATCAATTTATATTTTTGTATTAATTTACACCTGGGTAGTAATGAGCCTCATTTCATTTACACAATAAAGGACTCAATACTGCTATGCTGGCTCACGATGGTTTACGTGGGGGTTCTTTCAAAACATATGCTATTTAACATGAGTCAGGGTGACAGACTGAGACCTAAATAGTGGACAATCAAATATGTGAGCATAGCACATGAATAAATCTTCCCTTCCTTGGCTGGTACTGCCAGAATTGTCTTATTATGTGAGACAAACCTTAAGGCAGGAGAAAATGGACAAATCAACATGATGTACTCCTTTTCCTACAAATTCACCACCACGCAAGATATTTCTAGAATGTACTTTACCTGTGCTGTTTATTGATTGATAGGAAGTTCTACCGTTTCTTGCCTGGAGTGGAAAAAGATAAATGTATCACGAAAAATGAATCTCTGTAATGAGCATCATTGAGCTGACTTAGTATTACACTGTTCAATTATTTTAATTTGTGATATTAAACGAAAACCTAGAAGGAATGCAGACAATGGTAGTTAAACATTCAGCCCCAAATTGCATGTATAACTTATTTTTTATCAATAATACTTTTATTACATTTGTACGTTGAAAAAAGAAAACAGGAAAGTTCAACCATTACTATAAACTAACCACCTAGCATATAAAGACTTCACAGACAGACAGACAGACAGACAGATAGATATTAAACTAAGGCTAAATGTTGTCAAAAAGCTCCAAATCACAAAAACCTCAGCTGGTAATCAGGTTTTCTTTACAAAGTTAAAAATGAAGTTTTGGCGCAGATTCTTATTTTGCAGAAGGCATAGTCCTATATGTGTGAAGAGCAGAGGGAGGGGGTGTACAAACGTCGTTTTAACTCACTTTTGCCCCTCTTGGATTATGGACTCTGCCGATCATATGTTAGAACAGAAAACTCAAAGTATTGAGCACTATGGATACCCCTTCTCCCCTATATGATCCATCTTGACCCCAGTACAGGCATAAGCAGGGCACTCTGATGGAAAGCAGCATAGTTCCACTAATGCAATGCACTTCACAGTGTGTTTTGTATGCTCATTTAACAGAGAATGAGCATCTATTACAGTTCTCAGCTTTGGATCCTTATTTTATATAAATAGTTCTGGCTGTGCACTACAATACATTGTTTTAGCAAAGATGGCAAACTTTGCACTTACATCAGTCTAGCACTGCTCTACAGGCCTGTCTCCTTTATATGGTACTGGAGCAGAGCAGAGAGCTAGAATCAGCTTCCAGGTTTGTCAATATACAGTAAAACCTGTGTTATCCAGCACACTCGGGAATTAGGGCGTTCCAGTTATCTAAAAATTCCAGTTATCTGAGGGTTCCATCAACCTAGAAAATCAATGGGCAATAATAGTAAAACTCAAGTTTTTAATATTGGTAGTTTTGTAGTGTGAGGCAGTTGGTCTCCCATTTCTATTTTGAGTTAAAGATGATTAGTACTTCTTAAATAAAAAATTGTTAAGCCAATTATGGTAAACCAAGCCAGACCTGTGCGCCTGAAAATGTGACAATATTGTGGCTGGGGGCAATGCCAGTTAACAAAGTTTTCTGGTTAACAAAGTGCCGGATAACAAAAGGTTTCATTGTATTTGTTATTTTTTTCTAAATTAGTCACTAAACCTTTGCGTCTTAAAAGCAGTGAACACATGTAATATGTCACTACACCTCAGAAGAATGCAGACAACAGTAACATTGTAGCGATAGGCAAGATGAAGCACAGAAATGTTAATAAATCCTAAATTATGTGTCTATCTTCCGTACTGATAGGCAAGAAGACGCACATAAATGTTAATGAATCCTAAGTTATTTGTCTATTTTCTGAATTGAAACAAAAGGGCTTTATTCCGGAGGATCGCGCCAGTCTAGATGCTTTTTTCCGGCTTTTCCCCAAGCCGGAAAAAAAGCGGCGGACATGTTTATTTAAATCCCGTGGGGTATATTTAAATCCCCCGCGGATTTCCCTATTCCAAAGTTGGAAATTAGCATGGCTATTTCGGAATAGGGGCCAGTCTAGACGTAGCCCAAGAGAAACAAGAAGACTGATCTCCATTAAAATCCAAGTAATCAGCTCACCCTGTATATTTTTTTTTCTTTCAGAGCCTAATAGAAGGAAAGCAGAAGAGGAATCCAATTCACTGCATGATGCCAAGAATTTACTTTCATCATTGCGATCACTGATTTTGATAGCTCCTTTAAAAGGGCAGTATGCTTGAAAATATTCAAAGATCCATTTCACCATGAGAAATAATGAAAGATGGATCTGATACAGAAAAAAAAGAAAAAAATGGCCTGAATTCTAGGTACCAATCAGAAGATGGTCAGTAGTGGGCATGGAAGGCAGTAAGGTCTTTCATGTCATTCTGTTCTTCCTCTGAGCAGAGAGGTCACTGTATAGGTTCTCTATAATGTGTCAAAAGTAAATATTCACAGAGTACCATCTGCTCTTGTACTTGCATTTCTCTCTTCATCCCGGAATGTTTCCATAGCCAGATTTGAATTCCTCACAGAAATCATCATCAGAGTAGTGCTCAGAATGGACTGGACATTTCAGTTACTTGTGTCCAATTATGCACTGGTTCAACATTATATCCATTTAAAAGGGCAAAGAGAGCCAGGAGAAGATAGAGAGGGCACAAATTAAAATAAGATACAGTACTTAAACTTACAATACATTCACATAAAAATATTTTAGGAAGTTCCTAATAAGTCTAAATCCACCAAATCAATTTCTGGTTAATTATTTTTTCCATTCTAGTGAATCAAAAGACAACATGCCTCACATCTTTGTTAGTTACCACTTGACCTGGGTTTTAAATATTCCTCATAAGTGGCTCCCATTTCTTATCACTCTTTGAATTTCCTATAGTTTCTGACATCTATATATAGAGAGAGATTGATTTAATTTCTTGTAGATAGTATCCCCTGTTCCTGTGAAATCTTTGGTACCATGGACATTCTCTCCCCATCATCTGAGAACAAGTTACTCAGAGTTACTCAACATTATTGTTTGAAACTCTTGGTTTCACCATATGATGGACAACAAGGCTTTATAGTCCCAGGCAGCGGTTCTCATTCCCTAGTCTGGGGGCCCCTAGTGGTTCACAAGGCCTTTCCTTATCGCTGTGCACAATGAAACTTCATGGGAACCAAGCAATGGGTTGGTAGTAAAGATGTACTCTGCAGAAATCTCCCTATTTCTTATGAGATGATCTGCAGCATGATGGAGCTCATCTCAGGAATATTAAACAAGATTAAGCTGCACTGAAGCAAATCAAATGGGAAAAAAATATAAGTTTAACAGTCTACATTTTCTTCTGAAAAGAGACTGGTTTTGACAAAGGTTACAACTGACAAGTTAAGTTGACTAAGATTCAGAGTGCCTAGTGGTAAGATAAGTGATTCATTTAAAGGAGTAAATTTGATAAAAGTCACATGTATGTTGCTTGCACGGAATGAAAGAAAAATAACAACAGATACTAATTTAGTCTGTAAAATAAGAATGATAGAAAATCATGTCAGGTCTCCGCCCCCATTCAGGCTGAATCTTGTTCACTGTCCTATAATAGGAGCTAATCATAGAGTCAGACTTTTATTTTGAAGAACAGGTTATTAGATTTACAGGGTCATGTCCTTTGTTCTGTTAAATGATGAATTTCTTGTTCTGAATTTGCAAGATATTATATATTTCAGACCAATGGATAGTTTTTATTATCTATTGTGTTACCTGTACATTTAGACAATCTGAAAATCTGGGATTGGTGGAGGGGGAGAGGAGTTGCTAGGGAAATAACTTGTGAATCTGCTTCTGCCTATTATAGCTTTCACAGAAAGAACAGGTCACAACTGATACACTTGACCTGCTACACCGTGTTCAATACATCAAAAAATATCTGTGGAAACAACCAGATGGAGAGAGCCTTCAACTTCAAATGTGTGTGAAAGGTATCTGAGTTTAATGTTCTTAAACAAATACCCATACCCCTACCCCTCACATTAAATCCTGCACAACTGAAATGGATAAAGCTTAAAGCCTCCTATTAGAGCCTTGTTAACCTTTAATAAGGTTTCTTCTGGCAAGCTTATGTTTCTGGATCTTGCAGAATGACCACCACTGAATAACACCTGGATATGGTAAAACACCATTCTTTCAGGCTAGGTGGAATTTTAAAACTCCAGGACTTTACCAAATATTCTATCACACATGATTATAACCATTTTTTTTCTTTAGAGACTGGGACTGAGGTCTGGGGATGGTAAGTCCCGAAGGGGATATTAATGCTGGGTTAAAAACTGGTATAAGATGCTCTAGGGGAGTGGGATGAGGTAGGACTGGCTAGAAGAAAAGACTGGTATGGAAATGAGAAGCCAGATACTTGAAGGGGATGTGGACTATATCAAGAGGCTGTGGTGGAAAAGGACACAAATTGAGTGTGAGGGAATGGAACAGAAAAGGTCAGGTTTGCAGAAGCTAAACAGGCAGAGAGTCTGTGACCACTGGAAAATACTCCCCTCTAATGCTTGAAGTAAAACCCCAAATTCCTGACTCCCACAGAGAAATGCACTCGCAAATTGTGTCTCATCCCACTTTAGTGCCAGTCCACACAGAGGATGACAACCCATTAATGCTATCCATTACTCAAAAGCTTAAGAGTGGTAGCGGAGTTAGTGACAGGAAAAACTTAAAAAACAACAAATAGTCTAGAAGCACTTTAAAGACTAACAAAACATGTAGATGGTATCATGAGCTTTTGTGGGCACAACCCACTTCTTCAGATGACAGGAGTGTTAGAAGTCCAGATCCAAGAATAAATAAGGGAAGGAGGGGAAGGGAAGAAGGAAAAGAGGAGAAAAAAAGAAGGGGAGAAAGAAAAAAAAGAGAGACGGTGAGTAGATAAGCTTCAGAGGGATAGCTGAGTTAGTCTGTAATAGGAACTCAGTTAGTTCAAGTGGCAGACATCCATATTGTAGATCTAATGCTGGTGATTTATGTGGGTATCAATATAATACCTCATGTTGGAATTGCTTCAATTTGTGATTTTTTAAGAAACTTAGGAAGTTACACATAAAAAAACTAAGATAAAGAACATTTAAAAACTTAAAAGTTAAAAAATGCCAGAAATAAGGTTGAATGTGCAATCATAATTAAGCCCTCTTGTTCATATGAATTATTACATAGATTTTAATAGCATAAACACATACTATTTTTGATAAGACCCATGCCTCATTCAGATGCACCTTTTTTTATATAGTAATGGAGGCTGTTAGTTGTAAGTTTGCTTTCTCATTTGCTGCAGAAATTAAAAGGTGTACATCTGTTGTGGCTCTGGAAAATAGAGGACTTATATCCTAAA